ATGAGTTAACAGTGTGTCCATGTAGCCAAGAAGGCTAACGGCCATTTGGGGTGCATTAGGAGGAGCATTGCCAGCAGATCTAGAGAAGTGATTATCCCCCTTTATTCGGCTCTGGTGAGGCCACATCTGGAGTATTGTGTCCAGTTCTGGGCCCCGTTACAGAAAGGATGTGGACGCATTGGAGAGGGTCCACAGAGGGCAACAAAAATGATTAGGGGGCTGGAGCACGTGACTTATGACGGGGTGGGCAATAATTTTTTGCTAGGGGCCACTTTGGCAATTTTTGAAGTGGCCCCGGACCACATAGGAAGGGGCAGGGCATCAAGTGGAAGGGGCAGGGCCAAGATACTTCCTGGTTCCCCAACCCCAGACAATGATTGGTCTGCGGATGAGGGAATGCCTTTGCCCTTCCCCCCCCCACCTCTCCCCCTTTTCCCCTAGGTACCCATGTCCCTGGTGTGGGAAGAGACTCCTCTGCTCTGCCCCTGCCCTGTGAACAGCATACGGCACTTCAAAGCATCTCATGATCCTGGTAGGGTGGGTGAAGGCTTTGCATGCTCCCCCGCCCCCAGATCCAAATTGGCGTGGGAGTGGGGGAGCAGCAGGGCCTCCGTGGGCCAGATCCACTCGCTTGGCAGGCCGGATCCAACCCACAGAGGCTCTTTTGTCCACCCCTGACTTATAAGGAGAGGCTGAAGGATGTGGTCTTATTTGGTGTAGAGAAGAGAAGAGTGAGGGGGGATTTGATAGCAGCCTTCAACTTCCTGAAGGGAGGTTCCAAAGAGGCTGGAGAGAGGCTGTTCTCAGTGGTGACCGATGGCAGAACAAGGAGCAATGGGCTCAGGTTGCAGTGGGGGAGGTCTAGGTTGGCTATTAGGAAAGACGATTTCCCTAGGAGGGTGGGGAAGCACTGGGATGAGTTCCCTAGGGAGGAGGTGGAATCTCCATTCCTAATTGTTTTTAAGGTTTGAATGATTTACTCAAGTTTAACCAAAAGCGGCGAGGAGTCCTATGGCACCTTATAGACTAACCGAAGTGTTGGAGCAAAGACCCACTTCGTCAGATGCAGAAAAGCATATGCAAATGAGGAAGAATGGCTCTTGCGCAAGAGGGGTTTTTGTGCAAAAAAGGAGCCATCTACATGGCTCATGTTTGCGCAAAACCCTCTTGCGCAAAAATGGCTGCTCGTTACTTATGCAAATGAAGCGCAACGATATTCCACACCACGCTTCATTTGCATGTGCTTTTCCACAGGAAGGCTACAGTATAGACGTAGCCTAGGTGTCCAGTCACCTCTGTCATACTTAAATCCCAGCTTCACTCTGGGAAGTCTCAGGCTCTCTATTAGCCCCCATTACCCAGGGCGGGGTTCACTGTAGCCTTCAGTAATGCTTTGTTAATTCACGTGGCATTACATATCTCCTGTCTGGTATGTGGAGAGATTGTTGACATAGTTGAGCCCTGCAGAGCTCAAGTCTAACTACACCATTAGCATTTAATTAGGCAATTTACATCTAATTTTGGTGTCTGCAGGAGTATGCAAATAGCACCAGGAAAACACTGTTTATTTGAACGAGCATTAAGTACTTTGAACTGATGTTCCAAAGGATTTAAAGTAAAAGACTCATCACTTGTGCCCAGCAAGAGGGAGCAAACGAGCAGAGGATAAGACGTTCAGATTTACAGACTGCACTGTACATAATCCTGCGGAGATTTAAAACATCCTACTGTGTTTTATTATAACTACAAAAATAAGCTGCAGTATTTGAGGTGGGTCACCAGCTTGTGAGGAGTCGGAGTGCCTGTTAGCAATGTATGACTGAAACCACCTCCACTGTCAGGTGAGAACTAGAAAACACAGCCCCTTTCATTTGAGATGACATTTCAGACTTAATTTCCACTCCTTCTCCTTAACTGTGTTCAAACAATCGTCAGTGTCTGACTCATTCCTTCCAAACGGCACCATAAAAATAGACTTGGAGAAAACCTGACACACATGCTATAAGTCAAGAATTACTCATTACTCTTTCTCACTTCAGCGCTTTGGGATAAGATCTGGCGATTAGAATACAATTGAATGTGCACAGGCAACAGGGCTCTGATCGGATTGTCCTGCTGCTATTGCAGGCTAAATATGAAAGGATGATGGTGAGTGGAGTCCGAAGGGCTATGTCCCGTTTCTGTCACTAACTCTTATGTAACATTTGTAACTTGTAACCGTGTTGCAATATTCCAGTCCCAGGATATTGGCAAAACAAGAGAGGGTGAGGCATTATCTTTTACTGGAGCAACTTCTATTGATGAAACAAAATACAGGACTATGTAGCACTTTAAAGACTAACAAGATGGTTTATTAGGTGATGAGCTTTCGTGGGCCAGACCCACTTCCTCAGATCAAATAGTGGAAGAAAATTGTCACAACCATATATACCAAAGGATACAATTTAAAAAAATGAACACATATGAAAAGGACAAATCAAATTTCAGAACAGAGGGGGAATGGGGGGGGGGAGGTAAATATCTGTGAGCTAATGATATTAGAGGTGATAATTAGGGAAACTATCTTTGTAATGGGTATGATAATTAGATTTTTTATTCAGACTCAAGTGTAAAGTGTCGAATTTAAGCATGAATAACAGTTCAGAGGATTCTCTTTCAAGTGCAGTCTTAAAAGGCTTTTGAAGCAGGATGCAGGTAATTAAGTCATTGAGACAATGTCCTTTCTGGTTGAAATGGCAAGAAACTGTTTTTTCTTTGTGATCCTGTCTAATATCTGTTTTGTGGGCATTGATCCTTTGGCGAAGTGTCTGAGACGGACACTTTTGGCACATGATGCATAAATTATATTTCTGGATGCGCAGGAATATGTGTTCTTGATTTTATAACTCACTTGGTTAGGCCCAATAATGGTATCAGCAGAATGAATATGTGGACAAAGCTGGCAACGGGGTTTGTTGCAAGGGAAGGTACCAGGGTTGGTATTAGTGTGGTATGTCCTGTGGT